GGAAATATATAATACATGTTTCTTTCTAATCTATGAATAATAAGATATATTTTCTAAAAGGATAATAGTTTTTTATAATGGTATGATTTTTGGATAGATAATGTTAAGCTTTACACCAGTAAACTTGATTTTAATGTTATCCTTGAAACAGAGTTATTCCTTTTTAATTTTCGATTCCCGTACTGAATATGTCGTTATCTTGGAAATTCGATTTTCCCCATTAGCTTATGGTTTATTAACATTGAAGTGTTGTTATGTGACTAACTTCTGATTTGTTTGTGTTTCCTTCGTTTGAGTTGTATTCGAAGAAACATCAATCGTTCGTAAATATAATTAAGCTTAGGTCAACTGGAAACCTTAATTCTTTGATTCTCCCTGTTAAGATTAAACACCAAATTACTTCTTAAATTGAATAAATATTGTAAGCAATTGAATCAACGTGTAACTTTGTTGTCAGTAAGTTCGTCTTCAAAAATTTTGCACTTCTAAACTTAACTCCAACTAGTATTTGTATTGGATTGTAAAAAGTATCTCCGGAAAATATTGTAAAAATTTTGACTTCCATTAGTTTTGAAATATTTACATGATATTAATTCAGCTAGATGAGAGAATGATGCTAGATTTTTGGTTGAGTTAGATACTTTAGGTAATTCCAGGTTTCCATGGTGGTCTTGCTTCAATTGACTCATGATCTCAACGATTAAAATTACTATAATATCTACAAAAACCCCTTTTGATATTGATCAACATATACTCACTAGAGACTGGCTTCAAGAGGTATTTCCTGGAGTTCTGGTGAGATGCAGTGATCAGTGGACTTCAACCGAGTCTGTTGTGAAATAGTAATTCACTGATGACAATGGTAGACGGTGGTACCACTTCGTGGATTGATTGGAGTTAGAAATTAAAACCGTTGGATGCTAGCTTAGTGGTCTAGTGGTTAAGCGCTTGCGCACGGAACTGATAGGTCCTGGGTTCGAATGTCGCGATTCGGAATCGTGGATGTGCACTGCTGATGAATCCTACACTAGGAAGAAACAGCCGTTCAGTGCTTTCAGGTTTCCCATGGTGGTCCAGCTTCAATTGACTCATGATATCAATTATTGAATTTACTATAATATCCACAAAAACCCTTTCTGATTTTTAATTCTTCGGAATGAATAGTGTAATTACGAAAATCTCGTTATCATTCTGAACAGCATAAACAATACATACTTTGAGTATCCGTAAACTGTTTTCGTGGTCAGTAGCCAGAAAGAGTTCAGAGATATATCAGGATAATATAACCTACGACGATAAACAGATAGAAAGGAAATAATCACCATATACGTCATAGTACTTTCAAAATACTTTTAAAATGCTCACGTCTACTTAAAGTAGGGACTCATTAACTTGTCTCCATTAAATATTATGACTTGAAATACACAGCACCATCAAAATATGTGATGATATATTAAAATATAATTCAGTTATAATGAGCTATTAACAAGAAACATTTCAAACAAAAATGTGTATGATTACTAACAAAGAAACTGATATGAAGTGTTTTTATAAGTAAATTGAGACTCTCTTGGTATTGCTCGGCTTGTATCTTCTCATTGAGGTTTAAGACTGCAATTGATCAGTCTGTTATTGGCATATGTGCATACTGTGCGTATGCCTCGAAATTACCTTAATTCACAAGCTATTTGTAAGCAATGACGGATAGTGGCTAGCAGTGGAATCCAGGACGCGCGTTTCGTTCTATGTGGGACTCGTCAGCTGGATGTACCTGCATCTCAGGGAGTTGATGTTCACTCTGGGACTCGAACCCAGTACCATTCGCTTCAAACGCCATCGCGTTATCCACTCAGCTACTGAGTCCTGATAGCCACTTGCTTGTGCAATGGGGTGAATTTGAATTCACTTGGTATTGTTTGGCTTGTATCTTCCCATTAGATTAAGGTAATATCGAGACATACGCACAGTATGCACATATGTCAATGACAGACTGATCAATTGCAGTCTTAAACCTCAATGGGAAGATACAAGCCAAACAATACCAAGTGAATTCAAATTCGCCCCATTGCACAAGCAAGTGGCTATCAGGACTCAGTAGCTGAGTAGATAACGTGATGGCGTTTGAAAAAAAATTGAAACTCTGTTTACAAACAAAGTACTGATCCGTTAAATGCACAATAATTGTAACTAATTATAAGAAAATGAGGTAAGAAAATGGGAGTAGAATAGCCTTTTTAGATGTTCTACTTACAAAGAGGAAATACGGGTTAATAAGAAGAAACATAAACAAGAAGACCATTTGGACGGGTCAAACTCTCTTAGTTTTGTTTCTGTGCAATACAAAAGGAACCTTATTAAGACGCTGCATCATACAATCGAGACTATGTGCTCTCTAGTTACGGTTGAAGATAAAACAAAGGCATTATACACAACCCTGAAAGAAAATGGATATTTCGAGAAATTTATAAATAAAAACATAGCCAGTAAAAGACAGCGTTGAGAATGCCTAACTGTGAATAAAAACCTCTGTATATACGCTTACAATTCAGAGGCGATGCACCGAGTGAAATGCTAAGACTAAAGTTAAGCGGATCAATTCAAAGGACTTTTAATGCAGGTAAACTATAACTAATGTTTTCCACACGTCCGATAATCACTCCGAGGTTGAAAGATAAATTGCCTAGACTAGCCACCTCTTTTTGTATCTATGAATTCAACTGCTCCTGTGTAGCAAGTTATATTGGCAGATGTTCTAGGAATTAGTATTTTCGGGTTCGTGAGCACCTCCCAGTATGGTTAAGTAAAGGTGTAGTCAAAACGGTTAACAGCTCCATTTTAGACCTAGTTCAGACGGAACATACAGCCAACATGGAGCAATCTTTCGCAATAACCTATCGTGTTAGCAGCATTCCACCTAATTCCGTCAGACGGCTGAAGCAATTGCTATTCGGATCAAAAAGCCAGAGCTTTGCATCGAAAAGAAATATGTTCAGCCACTCCTTTTGCCTGGCCAACTTAGGGGCCAACTAGGTAATAATCAATCTTATAATATGGTGATGTATTTTGATCAATGTTCATTTTATGTCCCATACTTATTATTATCTTTACCACTGTTATTATCATCTTAATCATTGTTATTATTATTATTATCATTACACTTGATAACCTTTTTGAGGAATTTATTCAATATCCACCCTATCTACTGTATCTGACCTTATTTATGTTATTCTACATATTACTTAATTTCTGATTTGTGATTACATTATTTTCTCTTTCACCCCATGTTGACCATATTTATTCTGATCATTAATCGTACAATTTCATTTCGCTTATAAACAAGTTAACACTTTATATTAGTCAGCCCAGCATTAACGATTTGATTTGATTTTATATGACAAACAAGCCTTGATTCACATGTTACAATTTCCAAATGATGTACTCTGCCTTAAATCTGGTCAATTTTATGGCTTATTAATCGTAGAACCTAATGAGAAATTATTGAAAAGAATATTCTTCGTCCATAAAATTTTGTTTTAATATAACAGGGGATTTTTCAGCGATTAAAATGAAGATATGTTGATCATGAAAGTGACAACTAATTTATATACATTCTTTTGAATTCTATCCATGACTACCATTTGAAAAATTCCACTGTATGATGTAAACAGTTTATAGATCTCCATAATTATTACTAAGTGGACTTGATTAAATTGCTGTGGATTTATCGACTTTAATAGATATACTATGTAAGGTATTTATATTGATATTTTGATAACTCAGCTATGTAAATGTATCATAAGTAGATAAGTTAATTACTATATATTGTAAATATAGACCATTGAAAGACTAATATAGATGACGTATAGATTGATTCCTAATTGAAATTATTAGATGTTATAGTTCGAACCATTCATGATAATTGATAACTCCGCCTGGAGTCCCTCCGGGGTCTACTGCCGGTCCTAAGCCCGGATAAAGGAGGAGGCTTGGGCATGGGGTTAGCGACCCCATCCCGTAGAAAACTAACTAGCTAAAAAAACGTTAACCAGAAAAAATTATTCAAACCTTTTAAACTCTGCCCTGGGAGTCAGAAGGTCTTCATTTAGAAGAACTATGACGCCTCATGATGAAAGCCGAGTTCCTTCGGAAGTCATGAGGCCGATGCCCCTTCTGACATCCAGAGCAACCATTTATTTAGGTGCATGGAATACTCATGCAATGTGGGAGACCGGGAGAGTCTTCCAAATTGCTGCAGAAATGAGGAGGTACAACCTACAGGTGATTAGGATCAGTGAAACACATTGGACGAAAGTTGGACAACAACGATTAGCTTCAGGGGAGCTTCCGCCATACTCTGGCCATGATGAAGAAATGCTCCACATACACAAGGAGTCGCACTGATGCTATATTTCGAACCATTCATGATAACTGATCAATTGTTCATTTCTCATAGATTTTCAAATAAATCTATCATTTAAGTGGCTTATTCAATTTAAGTTTCTGTGTTATTCAACTAAGGCTCTTAATTTTTTATCGTAAAATCCATTTATATATATATATATATATATATATATATATATATATATATATATATATATATATATATATATATATATATATATTAACGGTCAACGATCTGACATAATATAGGCATTGAAATAACATTCATTAAAAATTGTAAGATTGCTAAATAAGATGTATTCAGATAATTGAACAATGAATACTCCAGCAGACTTCAGAAGACTAGAGCCTGATTGTTTATAAATCATTTTAAAAGATTTTAAGTATGGACCTGATGTCTTGTATCCAAGATATGTCTAGTAATTAAGGCATTTCAAGTACTCCTTCCTCTTGATAAAAAGACTTTCTAAAGATGTTCGTAAAGTTAAGGTATTCTCTCTTGGGTTGTTTTGGCAGTGCATGTAAATTTATAGAAACAATTGGCCATAACTTGAAGAGGTTACTTGTTGACCTTTAAGTGAGTTATTAGACATGTTACTTTATTATTACTATTATTAATGGCTTTATTCAATATTATAGTTTTGGTACAATATAGAATTCTCAGCACAGGTTATTTCAACAAGTTACTTACGCAACAACAAAAAACACACAGTAACGAATACAAAAAAAGAGAAATGTTTTTTTTAAAAAGAAAAAACCCCGAAAAACTGTACAACTTTTAAAATTAAGGACATGTTAAGAATGCAAGTTATTGACTAGGTTAACTCTAACAACCTGTTCGTCACAGAGTATATTTGCTAGGTAAGGTATTATAGAACTTTTATACTTTTGCTTGCGTGCATGGATTTTAATGTAATTACGTCTCGTTCTACCAGAAGATATACAAGGAGAAAGATAAGAGTGAAGGGGATGGCTAGTATCTGATAAAATAACACCTGCCAGGAGTTTGCATGATTTTAAATGTCTATCCACAACCATATTAATTATGACCTCGAAAGATTCACCACACACCTTGCTAACTGCCTTCAGCACTCTCCGCAATACAGCAAAGTCTTTTCTCAAAAGCCCGGGAAAGAATAATGGAGAACAGTAAAGAATAATAGGTAATATGCAAGAATTGACAAATTGTAAGAGTAAATGACGAGTAATCCCAAGAGCATGCAATCTCTTTATGTAGTAGGTCAGACGGAAAACCTTCTTTGATAACAATAAAACGTGGGAAGACCAAGACAGATCAGAGGAAAAGGTGACACCAAGATAATTGACCTTCGACACTGTGTTTATCAAAGAGTCTCCGATGGTACAAGCATTATGGGATCTCAAAATGGTGTTTAGGTTCCGTTCATGTCTCATGCTAAAGTTAACAGCTTGACATTTAGACGGATTAAGTATGAGACCATTACCAACAGACCAACAATCAATACGAGACAAAAACTCATTCATTTCTATGGGATGTAAAGAGGAAGAGATAGGCATACATACAGTGAGATCATCCGCATATTTCACAAAAGTGTTTTCTGTGGAAGATGGCAGATCATGCAGAAAAAAAGAGAAAAGAAGAGGTGAAAGAACAGCTCCTTGTGGTACACCTTCATGAGACAGTAGAGACTCTGAACACTTTCCTCCAAACACAGTGTACTGTTCCCTTCCAGAGAGGTAGGAACATAGCCAGTTGGTTATCCAGCTGTCAGTGTTGACGCTGATTAACTTGTTAAGTAAACGTTGTCTTGGTATAGAATCAAAAGCTGAAGTATAGTCCAGAAAAGCACATCGAACATACTTCTTACCCTTTTCTAAGTTGAACACTATGTTGTGATGCAGAACAGCAACAGCATCTAAAGTGCTTCTTTTGCGTCTGTAAGCAAACTGATATGGATCAGTATGCTCTTTTATCGCAGGCTGAAGTGGAAGTATTAATAATTTTTCCATTGTTTTGAGGAAGGGTGAAGTTATTGCAATAGGTCTAAATTTTACATTCTTATCACCAGATGCTTTCTTGGGTACAGGAATTATCTTCATCTTTCTCCACATTTTCGGTATGAGATTAGATGAGAAGGATCTGTTAAAGATAGCTGTGAACGGATAACATAGGACGTCAGCACATTTTTTAAAAAGGATGTTTGGGATACCATCAGGTCCCAAACATCGAGATGAATTAAGCGACTGGAGACATCTTCGTACATCAGTTTCAGTGAAAGTAGGAACACAGCTATTATTTAAACCCGTGGATAGAGGGAGCATCACATCAGATGACTGACGTACAAAAGACTTATTTAAGTCACAAACATTCAGCTGGTTATCGCTTCTAAACTGTCTGTCACCTGTAAGTTCTTTAAAGAGTTTCCACATACTTGGAGAGTTTTTGCAAGACAAGAGTTTTTGAGTAAACATACAGTTGAGACGTCTAATCTCTAGGTTTATCAGACCATTTAGCTTACGAACTTCATTAGAGTTCTTCTCCTTGTACATTCTTTCTTTCATCCTCCGTAGTCGTTTTAGTTGTGAAGATGTAAGTCGATCAAAACTTACAAAAATGGTTTCAGTGGGACAACAAATATCAAAACAGAATTTAAGGTAACAAGTGATAACATCAGTAGTGTTTTCCAGTGAGTCATCTGTAAATAATTCCCAGTTAGTCGTATGAAACATGTTTTTCAGATTTCGGATATTTTCTTCTGAGTAATTCCTATATTTGACTTTCTTGGTTTGATGTAAGAGTGTACTCTTCTCATGCTTTCCATATACTTTAGGTGGAACACGAATTATACAGTGATCCGAGCTAGACAATGGGGCACGTTTACGAGTCGCATATATACCCACATCATTAATGAAAACGAAGTCTAAATGAGCATCCAAACGAGTAGGAAAATCTACTACATTTTGGTGACCTAGTAACGTAATGAAGCTACAGTCACATGAATTGAAATCACCACATACAACTGAAAGTGAATCACTGAAGGCAGTAACAGCGAACTCAGTGAATTCGTCAGCGAAAACAGATTCATAGTTTGATTGAAAGGAACGATCTAGCTAACGACGCATTAAATCTTCTCTGCAATCCCATTACCTTTGAAGTTGAAATGGATAAATATGGGTTTTTTTTATTATTTGTAGCTACATCCAGTTTGTTGTATTTAGTTACTTTACATTAGATAATGAATTTCTTTGGGTAGAGGTTGTCTCTGAAGTACTTTTCAATGTTAAATGTGGTTTTTTAAATTTATTTTGCATTCTTGTCATCCTATACGAATGTATTTTTGAAACTTCTTTCAACTGAAGACAATTCTGACTTATTATTTTTAGATACCACAGATTGTAAGCACCTAACGAAAACCTAATAAAGTAAAGTAGATTCATTTTATTTTGTTCGAACCTTTGTTTTTGCTTTTTGCAACATAATAAAAGGAACTACTGTGATGTATGATATTTACGTTGACAAACATATGTAATATGTAACACCAATCAGAAGTGGAATACCTGTCGAAAGAAGTTTGAGAAGATTGAACTGAAAAAAACAGAAACGGAAACTTAAAGGAATTCAGAATCGGAAGAATCATGAAGGATGTAAAGAACAATTGATAGAGGATCTGCAAATAAAGTATTTCATGTAAGGTTTTCACATTTTATGAAAGAACTCTGTAGTTTTGCATTAAACCATAACTTGGTCTTCCCCACTTGAGTTCTGTTACACTACACTATCTGTACAAAAAATGGTTATTACAAAGGTATTTCAAAACTCCGAGCAAGATTTAATTTCGAGAAACCATTCTTTTTTTCGTCATGAAGCTAACGTTTACAATAACTGGAATATTTTAACATTGTTGCTGTTATGAGCAGACACTATATTTCATTGAAAATGGTCAATTATTTATTAATGTACTTCAAATCATTCCATTTTATCAGACTTATTGTAATGAACAAACACTTAGGTACGGACGACCAATTTGTTGTTTGATGCACAATCACACATTAGTTTAATAAAATGTGAAAATCATGCTTCAAATACATCATTTGAACATCTTCTTTGATTCGTCACTGATAAGCTTCATTGTCCCTTAATTCCTGTTGTTATCCTAATTGTTTTGCAGTTTCCTTTTCTCTTCTCTTCATTTCAATCTCCTCAACCTTCTGCTCTCAGACATTCTACTTCCGACTGGTGTTACATACTACTTATATCTGCAAATAACACAATTTTATATTACAAATGCTTTTTAATTTTTTTGTTACTACGATCTAATATCATTTAAATAATCACTGGAAGATGGAAAATATTACACAATTATTTTAATTTAACGTTAAACTACTCATTTCGGGGAAAGTCATAAACTCACATCAAATCAAATCAACATCTTTCAGATTTTACAACAAATATGATATTTTTGCCTGGGTAGAATCATCAATGAACAAAGTGGATCCGATCCAGACATAATGGCAAGGATTGGCAAAGCAAGGGCAGAATTTCTACAATTGAAGAACATATGGAATTTAAAACAGCTGTCAACCAATATCAAAATGACAATCTTCAATATGAACGTCAAAATAGTTCTATTGTACGGAGATGAAACTTGGAGAATTACCACAACCATCAACAAGAAGGTAAAAGTATTTATAAACAGTTGTCTACGCAAGATACTCAATATCCACCGCCAAAACGATATTCAAAAACGTACAAGTATTTAAAAACAATTGTCCTCGCAAAATTCTTTATGTTCGTTGTCCGGATAACCTTCAGTAACAGCTTACTGTGGGAGGGAATAGACAAGCTTCCAGATTAGTAGGATATCAGGAAAAGACTTTGATGGTACATACATTACAGAAATCATCAAACTTCATCAGTAGACAAGCGCTAACTTGGAATCCTGAAGGGAAATAGGAAAGCAGAAGACCGAAGATCATACTGCGTCGAGAATTGGAAGCAGATATGAAAAGGATAAATAGCAACTGGAAACGACTGGAAAGAATTGCCCAGGACAGAGTTGTATGTAGAGTGCTGGTGGTCGGTTCATGCCCCTCCCCAGAAGGTAATAGGCGTAAGTATGTAAGTAATGAAATTTGTAGTTTATTGAGGTACATTTCGATGAACTTTAGTTATATCTTTATTGATTCATCATTTGATATCATTTATGTGCTGAGAATCCTTCACATTTATAGAGAAATCTCTACAAAATTGCTAAACTTGTGTTGTAATTAATTCAGTTTAGCTATTATAGGTTCAAGTTATCTTACAAACTATTTTATGATTAATAGAATTTAGGTAAAATCACAGTAGGTAAGCATCAGTTCATACTTAGTTCTAATTTAATTGACCGACAGATATAATCTATGTAAAAGTAGTGGGGTTTTTAGAAAAAAAGAAATATCTTAATCCAAATAATTATTCAGAAACAAATGTCATAAATTTTTTTTATATTTCATTTACTAATATAAACTACCTATGTGTATATTCAGAGAAGGGGTTTATGTGGATATTATAGTAATTTTAATAGTTGAGATCATGAGTCAATTAAATCTAGACCACTACGGAAAACCTGGAGGCACTGAACGGTTGTTTCGTCCTAGTATGGGACGCGTCAGCAGTGCGCACCCACGATCCCGCCTCTCGAGATTCCAACCACTAGACCACTGAGCCAGCATCCAACGGTGTTAATGTCTAATTTCAACCAATATACGAAGTTGCGTCACCGCCCGCCATTGTCATCAGTGAATTACTATTTTACAACAGACCCGGTTAAACTCCACTGGTCACTGCTTGTAGAACGAAACGGTTGTCCAGCGCTTCCAGGGTTTCCATGGTGGTCTAGCTTCAGTTAACTCATGATCTCAACTATTGAAATTACTACAACATTCACAAATCCCCTTCTGATACTGATAAACATATATACCCTAGAAACTGACTTCAAGAGGTATTTCCTGGAGTTCTGGTGAGAAACAATGATCAGTGGAGTTCAACCGAGTCTGTTGTGAAATAGTAATTCACTGACGTCAATGATGGATGTGTCGCTCAATTTTGTAGATTACTTAATGTTAGAAATTAACACTATTGAATACCGGCTCAGTGGTCTAGTGGTTAAGCGCTCGCATTCAAGACTGATAGATCCTGGATTCGAATGTCGCAATTCGGGATCATGGATGCTCACTGCTGAGCAATCCCACAATAGAACGAAACGGTCATCTAATTCTTTAAGGATTTTCATGGTGGTCTAGATTCAATGAACCCATGGATTTAACTATTAAATTATTATTTGCATACGTTGAATTGATGTAGATATCATACAGAACTTGGATCTTATTTAAATGAATGAAATTTTGTTCAGTTAATCTTTATCACAATGTTATAATCAAATTATATCCAATTAGGTCAACAATGTATATTTGTTATATATTTTATAAATATACTACTTAAATAAAACTTATTCTTTATCATATAAGAAAGAAAGAAAAAACAAAGATGAAATAAAATGGTTTAAGGCAATAGTTTTTGTTTATAGAAGAATAGAAAAGATTGCATCATAAAAAAATGGATTCGAGACTAAACAACAAATGAGGTTACATCATAATTATAATTATAATTATAATGACAATTATAAATTATATTCTCTGAGCTGGAGAGAACAAAACTCCATCAAAATCATTCACCTGAGCTACAAATCTTCTCCACCATTTTATAAATTATATGTTTAACTCTGAATTGTAAATAGCTATCTAATAAATAATTAAATTTTATTATAAATACTATTGGATATAGATTATTATAAATGAAATATATTCAAAATAAACATCATAGAATATAGTCATGTTAATCATAATAATTATAAACTAATTAATAAGTAGTAAAGAAAATTAAACGAAAAAAATAGGAGGTTAAATTTGACATACGTGTATCTATGTTGTTTTGTTTCTTTTTTGATGAGGATGAATAAAAATTAAAAAAAATCATCATCTCTATAAGTTTAAATAGTATGATGATTAAATGTTATGAAAAGAAGGGATAGTATAAAAATAAAACTTCGATAAGGAGATTATATTAGAGTTATTTAGTTCTTTGAACTAGATAGTTTGACTGAAGAGTTTTATCAGGATAATGGTTGTGGAGATTGCTAAGTTTTTTTGATTGAGATCATGAACCGATTGATGTCAGACCACCACCTTTGGAAACCTGGAAGCACTGGACGACCGTTTCGTCCTATTGTGAGACTCCTCAGCAGTGAGCATCCACGATCCTACTCGCGGGACTTGAACCCAAGGCCTTCAGTCTCGCGTGCGAACGCTTAACCTACTGAACCACTGAGCCGGCATCCAATGGTGTTAATGTCTAACCTCAACCAATCCATGAAATTGTGGGACCATCTTCCATTGTACTGAGGTAGACACCTGTTTCTAACCGACACGGATTAGCTCCACTGCTCACGGCTTCTCACCAGAACTCCGAGAATTTTCTCACGAAGCTAGTCACTAGTGAGCACATGGTAATTATCAGTATAGTGGTAGTGGTGAATGTTAAGTTTTTGATTGAGATCATAAACCGATTGATGTTAGACCACCACTGAAAACCTGTAAGCACTGAACGGCCGAGTTTTAGTTGTTATCCTGGATAATATCATTGTGATGTGGGTTAGTTATATACACATAAGTAGTATATAACAATGGTCAGGCATAGAATGTATTTCAGTAGAAGGTCGATGAGGAAAGAACGGAAAAGAAACGCAATTGGAATGAAAACGCAATAACAACGAAATCTGAGACAGTGGATTGTTGTTTGCGACAGGAACGGTCAAGTTTGAGATGATGGATTGATATTTTGCAAATTAACTACTTAATATATGGTCCTCA